ATTGAACTCAATATTTAATTAGATTAATTTTTTACCTTCACTTTCACATGTAGAAAGCCCAGATATGATAAAGAGATCTACAGAGACCATTAGTAAACTGGTAACAGAAGGACCTGTGTCCATGTGTGTCTAAGTGGCCTGAAGAAACTCTTGTGATGTTATCCTGAGGCTAACTTGACCTAGACTGTGAGAGACATGCCTGTATTTTCTGGGTCAAGGCCCAAGTATCTGGCCTGTGAGTCAGGCCAAGAGTGTCAAGTAGAGTCCCAATTGTCACTGAAAAGGCTTGAGGGCCTGCTACTCCCTGAGGGCTCCCTTTTCTGCTTTCTCCTGTGTGGTAAACACACAAAGGTTCTGGTCCTACAGCTTGTTTCTTGAGCTTCACAGTTTCTTTCCTTGCCCTAAGGTTTCTCAAAAGCAGACAACAGGCCTGCTGCAGACACTGACTCTTTCTTGGGACACAATGTCCCAGGAAAGAAGGGGTTGGCTCACAGGTACAGAAACAGGTGGCCTGGGAATTAACTGCTCTCTGGAGCAGGAATGTTTGTTAAAATAGATCACCTAGATCAAAGACTGCACCTCATAGGGGAGGCATTATGTAGACCAAAGGACAGATGGGTGAGGGCAGAGAAAAGTTCCCCATCTCTCCTGCTAATCAGAGGCTCATGTGTGTTTCTAAGGTTAAAACAAACAAACAAACAAACAAACAAACAAACAACCATAGGTACCAAGTGAGCTGTGAAGACTCAGTTGGTGAGGGATTGCCATACAGAGGTGCTCAGGTAACCAGCAGCTTCCAGTGAGTAGGTGGGGACTGAAGGAGCTTAAAGAAGCTGAGCCAGAGATGGGGCACAGTTAAGAGAGTTGTCAAGCATGCCCAATGCCTTTGGTTCAATCCTCAACATGAAATAAACTGAGCATAATAACATATGCTTGTAATCCTAACTCTCCAGAGGTGGGCACAGGAGAATCAAGAGTTTAAGGTTGTCACATGGCCTCTTGGCCAGGTAAATCGGTTGTTTCCTCTGTATTCCCTTAGTAGATAAAGGGTATAAGGTAAGCTGAGACTGGGGCCAAGGGCAAGACTTTAAGGAGTATATTAGCTTCTCTCTCCCTTGGGGAGGGAAATGGTTCTAAGTAATAAACCTCTTAAGAGTATAGGAAATTCACTATTTTACTGGAAACAGCAATTAGTACCCTGCCTAAGTTTGCTTTCATCAAAACCCTCCCTGTTGTCCCACCCCTGCACACTGTGCGTGGCAACTGTAAAAGCCTCTGAGAACTAGCCTCATTGTTTTCATGTCTGAATCTGTGGCTGGTGGTGTGGTAGCCTGTGTATGTTGTTCATTACCTGAGGGTTGTGAGGAAGACAACGTGGGATGAGGGGTCTCAGACACTGGATGGCTTTTGCTTCTGAAGGTCTCTGCTCTAGGCTTTTTCACCCACCATTGTCACTTGCTCTTAGCAGCGGTTTGTCAGTACTAGCTGTGGTGCGTTTGGTTCCCATGGTAACAGCCAGTCGTGAGACTGGACGGGCTTGAATGCAGGCAGGATGGGATTCAGGACAGAGGTTGAAGATGTAGGGCTCAGATCCCTTATGTTCGCTTTTGTTACAAGGCCTTTTAGTTAGCATAAATGGGTAATTATGACAGCCCTTGTTACTGTAAGTATTTAAGGATAGGGAGAGAAGAGACCCTCTCTTTGGAGACCTGGTAGTGAGGGAGGTAGTCAGATGGGACCTACAAGCTAACATCACTGTGAGTCTGACATATGGAGGCAGGTGAGGAGCAGCTGTAGGGTGTCTAATTTCTGTTCGAGTCAGCCCTTTGAGGGTTCTGTTGTGGCATTCAGTGTTAAACCCATTTAGGGCTTGCTACTAAGTACAACCTCCAGCGCTGAGATACAGCCTAGTCTCTCCTTACAACACTTGTTTTAAGATTTATTTATATGGATGAGTGTTTTGCCTCCACGTGTGAATCTTCACTGTGTGCATCTGCCGAGATCTGTATCCTCCGTGGATCCCCTGGAACTGGGGTTATGGATAGTTGTGACAGTATGTGGGTGCTGAGAATCCAACCCAGATCTTCTATGAGAACAACAACTGTTCTTAACCAACTGAGCCATCTCTCCAGCTCCAGCCAGCTTCCTTCCTTCCTTCCTTTCTTTTTCTTTTTTTAATTTAAGATAGCGATCCCTCTGTGTTGCCTAGGCTTGTCTCAAACTCCTGTGTGCAAGAGTGATTTTTTTTCTGCCTCATTCTCCTGAATAATGGGAACTGCAAATGATGTGTTGCTATGCTAGGCTAGGGTGCCCTCTGTATGCTGTCTGCTGGACAAATGGATGGTAAGGCTGTGCTGGATCTGTGAACAAGTCAGGAGAACCAAACTGCTTCTGGCAGAGGCCAATAGGGTTTCAGTGTACCAGGAGACCCTGGTCACACCCAGCTCTGTCAACAACCTCTATTTTGTAACTGAGGTCAGAGTCCTAATTCTTCATTTGCCTGTGCCCCATTTAAAACATGTAAGATCTGATAATGTGGGAAGACTAAGACTTGGAGTTGTGAATTTGCCTTTCCAAAAGCTTGGCTGTAGGACTGCTTGCAGAAAGGCAATTCCCATGGTAATATGGTGTAGTGGGAGTCACACCTAGGTTTTTTGGGTTTTAATGGCAAGATGTGAATACTGGAAAACTTGTAAGAGTCAGCCTGGCCCGGCAGTGGTGGTGCACATCCTTAATCCCAGCACTCAGGAGACAGATCTCTGAGTTCAAGGTCAACCTGCTCTAAAAAGTGAGTTCCAGGACAGCTAGGGCTACACAGAGAAATCCTGTCTGGGAAAACCAACCCCCCCCCTGCCCTCCCCAACAGACCCCTCCCCCCCACCCCTTCCCCCCAACACCCCCTCCCCCGCCCCAAAAGAGCCAGTCTGTTGAAGAGAAGGAAAGACCTATCTCCACTGCTTTTTCTTTTCTTTTTTGTTTTGATTTGAGATGGTCTCATGAACCTGGGCTACACTTGAACTATGTAGCAGCTTTGAAGGAAATGATACATATTATGAAACTGAAGGCAGAAGAGCAATTTCTGCTTCTTTTGTTGCAGTTGCTGAAATGTATCATTCATTCATTCATTCATTCATTCATTCATTCTTCACAAGTAAGCCAATCAGTGCCCAGTCAACATGCTGGACACCGTTTTCCCACCGCTCAACATATATATTCTATATGTATTCATATATATATTCATATATATATACAAACATAGCTGTTTGTAGTCTCAGGTCTACCTAGCCTAGGGCCTGGGCTGGCCTCTACACTGAGTACCTCAGCAAGTAAGGTATTCCCCTGTCACCATACACAGCTCAGTTTCCAGCAGCACTGCGTTTTTGAGTTTGTGCCAGGCCTGTATGGGCGGTGCTAGTGGGATCTTAATTAATACTGGTTAATTACCAGGTGGTGCTTAACAATCCCAATACCCTTCAGGTTCCCAAGTCTACAGCTCATGAGTTGCTGGCTGGTTCCGGAAGGGAGAGGGAGGACAGTATTCTCACTGGGTCAGCACCTAGGCTGGATATTCGAGAAAGGTCTGTAATTTCTTTTGTTCTATTCAAGTTTGGTGACAGGAGGGAAAAGTTGGGTAACAGCAGGTACCTCTCTAATTCACCTCTGTCCTCTTCCCAGAGGCAAAAGACAATACAGCCTGTGGTCTGCTCAACTTCACCAAATAGTGTGGCCCAGGGCCCAGGGTTGAGAGTTGGGAGGAAGGAGGAATGTAAGTCTAGATCTGAAGACCAGTATGGAAGTGTCCAAAAGGAGGAACAAGCCCAAAGGTCTGTCTGGCTCTAACCTTTATTCCACTTTCTCACTGTCCACAATTAGCTAAGTGAGCTCTTTCAGGGTTACTTCTCTGCCTGAGGCTCCCAAATGACCATCTTACTGAAACTTTTACTTCCTATAAAGCCTTCCCCCTTTGACATCTCGCGACCTCATATTAGACTCCTTAGGACTTCGGGCAGTCTGGCGCACGCATCGTTCTACCTGTCAGTCAAGACGGTTCTGACTTGACTAGGTCTTTGTTCCTGCTATACAGGACTTTCCTCCAGATCTTCCTCTGGGCAAGTCCTGCTCAGTAGTTTGGAGTTAGCATTAATGTCATTCGTTACAGTGAGCCCCTCTGGTCCTCTACTAGAGCAGGGGTCAAGGTGAGGTGGTCCTGTGTCACCTCAGTGTCCCTGGCACTCCGTTAAGAGGCTCTCAGCATGCTCCAAAAGCATAAGTGAAAGGTCTTTGTGACCCGGCGAAACGCACTAACCAGCCTGCCTGGCAACTGGGGCACTCTTTCCTCATCTCCGGGGCCTCCCGCACCTTGACCATGGGCTGCTCGGAGAGCGGGAGGCTCTGCGGCGCACGCGCACTCTGGGCCAGCGCTCGGCCGGGGACGCGCACGCCCGCGGCCGCGTGCGTCACAACCCGGGCGCC